CTGCCTGCATCTTTTCAAATTCCTGGCCAGGCATGTCTTTTTCAGCTGGTTCTGCTCCCAGTCAGATTGGAGGGGGAGGGGGGAGAGCTAGGTGGGTTTCCACAACCAGTTATACCCTGTGTAAACCTCTCTCCACATTTGCTTTTCTCCTGGTCATTGGGCATACACTATGTTGTGCAATGTGGTTTTGCAGGCCTATATTTCAGGCCAAACTGAGGTTTGCAGAAATTGGCTCCCCCAGCTGTTGGTCCCTGTACCATGACTACAAAATGGTTCCTTCCTCTGTCCTCTGCACACAGCCAGGAGAAATGGGGCTTCTTTTCTGTGCTAGGATATTGTGCATCTGCCTTTCGGTTAAGTTGGACAGTGTCTTTGATATCTAAACTCTCTATACCCAGACATGCCTCAGGCCTTCAAAAAAATGTTAGTTCCTTTAATTCCCTTATCCCTGGCCTCCAGCCATGGCAATGGCTATGTTGCTGGAGATTTCTTCCTTATTTTATTATATCCAACCTTCTGTGTCTCAATCTGCTTTGAATATCCAGTATTAAATTCCAGTAAAGCCCCCTTCCTTTTTGTTGTTGTTGTTCACCCCCATTTCTGAGAAGCTGCCTATCTGCTTTCTTGGTTTCATGCCATGGAGTCGTTAGGCCTGTGATAGGTTTTATGCATCTCTTGAGTTGGATTTCTTTTTCACTCTCATGTGTGGGCCTTTTTAGGGCCCAGCCTTCTCTATCCAAAGTATCCTAGTGAGATCTAGATTGAGACCCCTTGTAGGTATAATCCCCACAGTCTGCTTTTGCTGTACCAGCAGGTGTCTGTTAGTGGGACCTGAGGCACATCCCCCCAGCCAATGTTATTTGGGGTCTGGCCATTAGTTTGGGTTTTTCCCCTCTTCTATTCTTTGTATTAAAGTATAGCTGAAGTTTGAAGGTGTGCTTTTGTCTGGGTTTAGTATCGCAGCAGTCTCTACCTTGTGAACTTGTGGTGTCCCTATAGATTCCCATAACTCACAGAAAATGGGGAAACAAACAGTAGATCAACAGCCAAAGTAAACAATATACAGCATTAAAATAACTACCTGGTGCCTACTATGACATCTATAACACTAATTACCACAAAACAGGAATGGTGGGGTCAGCAATTGCCCACAGCAAAAACAATAGCTAACCATGAACTCAACCTGGCATTAAACAACAGCTGTCAACTGTGTCATGTCCAGTAGTAATAACTGCAGTAACATGAATGGTGGGGGCAGGAGTTACATAAACCAATTGGTTCTAAAAGATGGTAAAATATAGTTCTTTAGGAGAAGAGAAAATGAGATAGGAAGATAGATGAACATTTAGAATGTTTAAAATGTGAACAAAGAATGCAGAAGAGATGTCACAAGTGATGGTTATAAAGAAGAAGGAGAAAAACAGGAAAAACAAAGTAAAGGGAGAAAGAGAAAACGAGCATTTTGTGGTTGTAGATAGATAGAATGCTTTTATTTTATTTGTTTATTTTTATGTTGTGCTGCGGATGGAACCCAATGCCTCACACATGCAAGGAGAAGAAAGGAGAGAAAAGAAACAAAATAGAACACAACAAAATCAAACAAATCAAAAACCCTAACCCTCAGAAGATAAGGAAAAATAACTATCATAAAAATGCTAAAAATGAGAGAAAGAGACAGAAATATGTATATGTATCCAGTAACTAATCAGCACAGCAAGAGTGAAAAAAAAAAGAAAAAGAAGGAAAAAATTCATAATAAAAAAAATGAAAGAATTGTCTTCACTGAGGTGGTCAGAAAATCAGTAAGTCTGGATGGTCACTGCTTATCCCTGACTGTATTTCTCTATTTTTTTCTGGGCTCTGGAGAGAGAGAGAGAAAAAAAAAAGAAGAAGAAGAAGAGAGAGAAAGTATAGCTCTTAGTGGCCTAGACATGGAACTGATGGGAATAGCTCTCAGCTGCCCTAAACACCATTTTTCATTATCCAAAAAGAAACCTCAATATCCATTGGCAGTTGTTTCCCATTCCCTTCTGCCCACTATACCCTGACAACCATTTATCTACTTTCTGTCTGTAGATTTGACTGTTCTGGACATTGTATATAAATGAAATAATATGAAATGTGCCTTTTTATGTCTGGCTTCTTTCATTTAGCATAATATTTTCAAGGTTCATCGATGTTGTAGCGTGTGATACACTGCATGGATTGTATGGATATGCGACATGTTGTTCATCCATTTATCAGTTGCTGGACATTTTAGGTTGTTATACATTTTTCATATTACGAATAATACTGTGAACATTCCTATAAAAGTCTGTGTGAACATGTTTTAAGTTCTCGTGGGCATATACCTAAAATGGAATTGCAGGCTCATACAATAATTCTGTTTTACATTTCGAGGTCTCCCAGACAGGTCTTCATAGTGATGGGTGACTAATGGTAATCAGCATCTTTTCATGAGCTTATTGGCTATTTATATATCTCCTTAGGAATATACCCGTTCAAGTCCTTTGCCCATTAAAAAAATTTTTTTTGTAGTTTTAGATAGATAGAATGCCTTTATTTTATTTGTTTATTTTTATGTTGTGCTGAGGATGGATCCCAGTGCCTCACACATGCAAGGCAAGTGCTCTACCATTGAGTTGCAGCCCCAGCTTTGCCCATTTTTAATTGGGCCTTTTATCTTTTTATTGTTGATTTGTAAGAATCCTTGTATATTATGGATATGAGACCCTTATCGGATATTATGATTTGCAAATATTGTCTCCCATTTGGTGGGTTGTCTTTTTAACTTTCTTGATAGAGAACCTTCTTGATTAAAAACAAAAGTTTTTAATTTTGATAAAGTGTGACCTATTTTTTTGTTGTTGCTTATGATTTTAGCATCACATTTAAGAAAATATTGCCTAATCCGGTTACTAAGATTTATATTGATGTTTTCTTCTAAGAATTTAATGATTTTTAGTCTTACATTTAGGTCTTTGATCCATTTTGAATTAAAATTTTGTATCTGGTGTGAAGTAAGCTTCAAAATTTATTCTTTTTTAAATTATTTAAGCTTATTTTTTACTCTGTTCATTGCACATTAGTCTGACACAGATGATTTATTTAGGATTGACTTTGAAAAAGTTACAGTCATAAGAAGGCTTAGGTATTTTTCCCCATTTCAGTGTTAGCTTAATATATTAATGTCCACCAAGTTCAAGCATTTTAGTAGTACACCTTTCATTTAATATGCCTTCATATAAGATTTTAGGAGATAAATACATGGTTAGGACAGTGATAGACATGCAATTTATATGTTGAAGTATCATAAGTATAACATAAGTATCATAAGTATAACAGAGAAATTAAGGTGCAAAAGTAGGTAGAGTATTTAGAGAGAAAATAACTGACTTGTTTTAACTGAACAAATAGAAAAATATTGAGCTTTTTAATCATACAAATAGGACTGTGGGAGCTAAAAATTTTGGAATTGGGGAAGATCAGAAATGCAAATTTGACTCTGTTAGGTGCCAAATTCATTCTTTTACTTATGGATATCCGTAGTCCCAGCACCATTTAGTCAAAAGACTGTTTCCTCATTGACTGGTCTTAGTACCTATGTAAAAAACCAGTTGACTATAGACATAGGGGCTTATCTCTAGACTCTCAATTATATTCTGTTCATCTTTATCTCTCTTATGCTCATACCACACTGTTTTTATTACTATAGCTTTTGGGGAGGGTTTGGAAGTGGAAGAATGTGTTCTCCAGCTTTGTTCATCTTTTTCTAGATTGTTTTAGCTATCTTGGGTCCCTTGCCTAGTCCACATAAATTTTGGCATCAGCTGTTAGAGCTTTGATAGGGGTTGGTATTGAATCTGTTGATTAATTGCGGGAGCCCTCTTGACAATATTAAACTTTCAATGCATGAATGAAATGGGATGTTTTCTGACATATTCAGACATTTAGTTTATTCCAGGAATGTTTTATAGTTTTAAATATCTAAGTCTTAGCTGGACTTAATGGCATGTTCTTCTGGTTCCAGTTACTCAGGAGGCTTAGATGGGAAGATCACTTGAGCCAAAGAGTTTGAGTGCAGTCTGGGCAACAAAGTGAGACCCTGTCTCCAAATAAAAACAAAAAGAAAATTTATGTCTTTGGTTATAATTTTATTCCTGTTTTATCCTTTTTGTTTGTTTATGTATTGGCACTGGGAATTGAACCCCAGGGAACTTACTATTGAGCAACACCCCTAGTCCTTTTATTTTTTATTTTGAGACAGGGTCTCACTTAGTTTTTTAGGGTCTCACTAAATTGCTGAAGCTGGCCTCAAATTTGTGATCATCTTGCCTCAGCCTCCAAAGTTGCTGGGAGGAGAAATGTGCACCACTATGCCTGACTGCTCTATTTTATTGATAGTGAAGTTGATTTCATTTCTTTTGGGGGTTATTCATTGCTACATAGTAATGCAACTGATTTTCCATGCTGATCTTGTGTCCTGAAGTCTTGCTGAACTCATTTATTAGTTCTAATAGCTTCGTGTGTGTATTCTTTTAGGGCTTTCTATTTATAGGCTAATAAAGGTAATTTCACTTCTTCCTTTCTAAGGAAGAATGCCTTTTATTTCTCTTTTGACTCAGTTGTCCTGGCTAGAACCTCCAGTGTGATACAGAGTAGGAATGTCAGGAGCAGTCACTCTTGTTTTATTCTTGATTTTGAGGAGAAAGTTTTAATGCTTGACTGTTAAGTATGATGTTAGCTGTGGGCTTTTCATAGATGCCCTTTATTAGGTTGAGGAAATTCCTTTCTACTCCTAGTTTGTTGAGTTTTCTTTCTTTTTTTAATCATGAAAGCACATTGAATTTTGTCAAATGATTTTTCTGTATATTGAAATGATCACATGCAGTTTCTCCTTTATTTTATTAATTAATCAATTAATTTATTTTGGTGGTATTGGGGATTGAACTCAGGAGCACTCTATCACTGAACTATATCCTTTTTATTTTTTGAGACAGACCTCCCTCAGTTGCTGAGGCTAGCCTTGAACTTGCAATCCTCCTGCCTCAACCTCCTGAGTCACTGGGACGGCAGCGTGGGCCACTTCACCCAGCTATTTATTTTCTTAATATGATGTATTACATTTTCATATGTTGAACGAATTTTAAAATCCTATGATAAATCCCACTTGAGCATGATGTATAATCCTTTTTTGTATGTTGGTACTTTTAAGTTTGGTGTCCGTATTCATAAGGCGTACTGGTATGCAGCTTTCTTATAATGTCTTTTTCTGATTTTGGTATTGAGACAATACTTGCCTCATATGATGATTTAGGAAATGTTCCCTTCGCTTCTATTTTTTGGGAAGCATTTGTGAAGGATTGGGTTAATTATTCTGTAAACGTTGGATAGAAACCAGGCACATTAGTGTACTTGTAATCCCAACTACTTAAGAGGCTGAGGCAGGAGGATTGGAAGTTCAATGCCAGATTCAGCAATTCAGGGAGACCCTAACTTAAATATTTAAAAGGGCTGAGAATGTATCTCAGTGGTAGAGCACTTGCCTACCATGTGTAAGGCCCTGGGTTTCATCCCCAGTACCACAAGCCAACAAAACACTTGGGAAAACACATTGAATAGAATTCACAAGTGAAGCCATTTGTTCCTGGGCTTTTCTTTGTAGTGATTTTTTTTTTTTTTGTAGTGGTGATTGAACCCAGGGGTGCTTAACCATGGACTTACATCCACAGTCCCTCTCACTAAGTTACTGAGGCTGGGTCTGGAACTTGTGATCCTTCTGCCTCAGCCTCCAAAGTTGCTGGGATTGCAGGCCTGTGCCACTGTGCCGTTTGTAGTAACTTTTTGGTTACTTAATCTCTTTATTGATTTAGGATTTTCTATTTCTTCTTGAATCAGATTTGGTAGCTGGTTGTTTCTAGGAGTTTTTTCCATCTAGGTTATCTTATTTGTTGAAATACAGTTGTTCATAGTGCTCTTTCATAATCCTTCCTATTTCTGTAAAGTCAGAAATAACACCACCTCTTTCACTTTTCATTTTGGAAATATGAAACTTCATTTTCTCTCTCTGTTTTTGTTTTTGGTACTGGGGACAGAATTTAAGGGCACTTTATTACTGAGCTATGTCCCCAGCCCTTTTTATTTTGAGACAGGGTTTCCCTAAATTGGCCTTGAACTTATGATCCTCCTGTCTCACCCTCCCAAGTTGCTGGGATTACAGGCATGCACCACAACACCTGGCTCTTTCTGATTTCTTCAGGTGGAATGTTCAGTTACTGATTTGAACATTTTTTGGCAATGAACAAAGACCTTTATTATTCTTGCTCCTTACCTTGAATGTCCACATGACAGATATTTTTCTCCTCTCTCTTTGTATTCAGTCCTTTATGGATATGGATGATCTAGGGAAGAGTGAGGATGACTCACTCCAAGATCTCTTTTTTTATTAAGATCTCTTTATTATCTTTTTAAAAATTTTATTTTTTGTTGTAGTTGGACACAATACCTATTGTTTATTAATTTATTTTTATGTGGTGCTGAGAATCAAACCCAGTGCCTCATACATACTAGGCAAGTGCTCTACCACTGAGCCCCAGCCCCAGCCCTCTTTATTATCTTTTTTTTTTTTAATCACTCTAGCCAAGTGATTATTTAGGTAAAGATGGTGGAAAAGTTTGGATAACACTGAATAAGAGAAAAGGTATTAATATTACATTATTTTGCATTAAGTCTGGAAAAAAGAAGGAAGTAGAACAAGAACTACTTGTATGTAGTAGACATTTAACTGACAGGCACAATCGCAGTAGACATTCTTAATAACACCCAGTTTCATCCTTCTTCATTCCACCTCTTAGGTTGAAAATGTGCACAGCTGAATTAGATTCACCTTTTACTTTGTGTGTCTTTTTGCATTTCTGGGGAATGTTGCTGTCCTATTGTGATTGAGACTGAGCATAATGTCTTTGAGACTATATACTACTTCCTGGCATGTTGATTTTTTGTTGGACATATTAAATTCTATTGACCTATTTATCTGATGGCCTTTCCACAGCCACCATCACTAAAATGTTGGGCATCTTCTGATTCAGTTTTGGGTTAGGGATGGGAAATATATATGAATATATTTTAATATGTGTGTATGTATAGTATCAAACCCTATGTATACTATGTTTTCCCTATACATACATACATACACACACACATACATACACACACACATACACACACACATACATACACACACACATACACACACACACACACACACATATATATATATATATATATATATATATAAAATTTGTAGTAAAAATCATATAAAATGTGCCCTCTTAAGTGTTTTAAGTTTACAGTTCAGTAGTGTTTACTATATCCACATTGTTGTGTAACAAATCTCTAGAACCTTTTCATTTAACAAAACTGAAACTTGGTACTTATTCAGTGACTCCCCATTCATCTTTCCCTCCAGGCCCTGGAAACTATCATTCTACTTTTCTTTTTGTATGAGTTTGAGTATTTTAGATACCTTATAAAAATGCAATCATGTAACTAGCTCATTCCATTTATGATAATGTCCTCCAAGCTTATCAATATTATTATATGTGGCATTATTTCATTTTTTATAAAGGCTGAATAATGTTCTGTTGATCCTTGTGGATGTCTGAAAGTACGGATAGTACCAACCCTATGTATACTATGTTTTTCCTATTCATACATATTTATAATTTCTAAATTAAACTTCAGAAATTAGGCATAGTAATAAATTAAAAATAATAACCAACTATAGAAGAGAAAAATATAACAATATCCTGTATATAATTATTTAAAACTTATAAAATGTTTATTTTAGGAATTTTCCATTTAATATTTTTGAATCACCATTGACTGTAAGTAACTGAAACTGCAAAAAAGTGAAATCATGGATGGGGGTACTGGGCATATATACCACATTTTCTTCAGGCAGTCCTCCACGAGTGGCATTTGGATTGTTTCCATCTCTTGGCTGTTGTAATGCTGTAATAACATAAGTGAAAGATCTCTTTTTTTAAATGTATTTTTATTGGACACAATGCCTTTATTTTATTTATTTTTATGTGGTGTTGAGGATCGAACCCAGCGCCTCACACATGCTAGACAAGCGCTCTACTACTGAGCCACAACCCCAGCCCCAAGATCTCTTTTTTTAAACCAACTTGTTGAGATATAATTCACATACCATACAGTTCACCCATTTAATATGTACAATTCATTGGTTTTTAGGATATGGAAAGATATGTGCAACCATTAATTCTAGAACATTTCCTCCACCTCAGAAAGAAACCTACTTTGTCTATTTTGTCTGTCATTGCTCATCCCGATCCTCCCCACCCAGCTCTGAGCAACCACTAATTTGCTCTCTCTAAAAATTTCTCTGAGACTTTCCTATAAATGAAATAATATATGACCTTTTGTGGCTGGCTTTTTTTCACTTAACACAGTGGGTTTTTCTTTGTTAGTTTAGGAGATGGTGTTTCACTGTGTAGCCCAGGCTGGCTCAAACTCCTGGGCTTAAGGGGACCCTCAGCCTCAGCCTCAGGGTAGCTGGATACAGGTGTGTGCTATCACGTTTTGGTGGCATCATGCATCCATGAGGTCACATACATGTATTATTGTTTCACTTCTTTTTGTCCCTGAATAATATCCCATTGTATGGATACAACATATTTTTTCTTCTTGGTCTGGGGGAAGAAACCCAGCCCACACACATGCCAGGCAAGCTCTCTACCATTAAGCTATACTCCTAATCCTTACATTTAAAATAATCCATTCATCAATTGGTAAATATTTGTTTCCCACCTTTTGAATATTTATGAATAATGCTACTTAAGATTCACAGTACATATGTTTTTTTTTTTTTTTTTTCTGTTTTGTTACTGGGATTAAACCTTGAGACATTCTACTGAGCAGCATCCCCAGCCCTTTTAAATTTTGATACAGGGTCTCACTGAGTTTCCCAGGCTGATCTCAAACTTGTAATCTTCCTGCTGCAGCCTCTCCAGTTGCTGGGATTATAGGCATGCACCGCCAAGCCTGGACTGTTTTCGTTTCTTTAGCAATGGAATCGCTGGGACAAGTGTTTAATTATTTATCATTTGAGGAGCTGCCAGACCATTTTCCACAGCAGCTGCCCCATTTCATATTCCTAGCAGCAGTCTATGATAGTTCAAATTTCTCCAATTTTCTCCAACCCTTACTTTTTAAATTCTAGTGACCTTTTTGTGTGTGCAGTGGTATCTCATTGTGGGTTCTATTTGCCTTTCCCTAATGGCTAGTGATGTTGAATTTTCTGAGTTGAACATTGTCCATTTACATGTCTTCCTTTGAGGAAGATCCATTCAGATCCTTTGCTTTTTTTTTTTTTTTTTTCCCCAGTGCACAGATTGGACCCAGGGCCTTATGCATGATCAGCAAGCACTTTTACCACTGAGCTACACCCCAGCCCCTGATCATTTTAAATAGGGTTATTTGCCTTTTATTATTGAGTTGTGAGTTTTTAATGTATTTTAGATAAAAGTTCCTTAACAGATATATGAATTGTAGACATTTTCTCCCATTTTGAGGGTTGTTTTTCCATTCTTTCTCTCTCTAGGCATTTACAGTTATAAATTTTCCTCTAATCACTGCTTTAGATACATCCATGTTCTGATACATTATTTTAGTATGTTATATACTCACTTGTATACATCTTCAAATTTATATGATTTCTAATTTCCCTTACATTTTTGCTTTGATTCATTGGTTATCTGGGAGTGTTGTTCAATTTCTACATATTTGTGAATTCCTAAAATGTCTTTGTTATTGATCTCTATTTTCATGCCATTGTGGTGAAAGAACACGTTTGTATAATTTCAGGCTTTTAAAATGTATTGATTCTTATTTTATGATTTAACATATGGTCTGTCATGGAGAATGTTTGCACTTGAGAAGTTACTGTATTCTGCTGTTGTTGGGTGAAATGTTCTGTAGGTGTCTGCTAGGGATAGATGATTTATAGTGTTAAATCTTCTCTTGCTGAACTTCTGTCTAGTTCTAGGCATTATTGATAGCAGCATGGCCTTGAACAGTTATTGTGGTTTTGTGGAAGTATTTAACTTTATTTTAACTGATACATAAAAACTTAAAAATTGAATGTATTTGTGAGATACTGCATAATGTTTTGATACATGTATACATTGTATAATGTTTAAATCAAATTAAACATATTTCTTCAAAACATTCAAATTCCTTTTTCTGGCTCTGTGAAGTGCAAATTATCTCTAGTCACACTACGGTGCAATAGCACACCAGAACTTTTTAAAAATTATTTTTATTTTTTTTAAATCCTTTTTTAGTTGTTGGTAGACACAATACCTTTATTTTATTTATTTTTATTTTTATGTGGTGCTGAGGATCAAACCCAGTGCCTCACACATGCTAGGCAAGCACTCTACCACTGAGCTACAACTTCAGCCCTACCAGAATTTCTTACTCCTTCCTAACTATAACTTAGTACCCATTGATCAACCTCTTCTGACTTTTCAGCCCCCTACTCTCCCCAGTCCCTGGTAACCACCATTTTACTCTCAATTTCTGTAGATCAACATTTTTGTATTCCACAGATTAGTGAGACTATGACGTTCTTGTCTTTCTGTGGCTTATTTCATTTAATATAATGGCCTCAATTCCATGCATGTCACAAATGACAGAATTTCCTTTTCTTTTCCTTTATCTATTTATCAGTTGATGGACACTTGTTTCCATTTCTTAGCTAAATGAACATGGGAGTGCTAATGTCTCTTCAACATATTGATCTCATTTCCTTTGGATAAATACAGAGTAGTGGGATTGATGAATCATATGATAGTTCTATTTTTAACTTTTTGAGCAATATCCATACTGATTTCCCTAATAGCTGTGCTAATTTATATTCTCACCAATAGTGTACAAGTTTCCCTTTTCTCCACATTTCTTCCAACACTTTTTCTTTTTGAAAAGCTGTCATTCTTACTGGAGTGAGATGATATGTCATTGTGATTTCAATTTGCAATTTTCGGATTAGGGATGTTGATTATGTCTTTTGAGAAATGTCTATTGCCCACTTTGTAATTGGGTTATTTGGTTCTTTACTATTAAGTTTTTTGAGTTTCTTATATATTCTGGACATTAACCCCTTGTCAGATGTACAGTTTGGAAATATTTTCTACCATCCAAAAATCGTCTCTTCACTTTGATGTGCAGAAGATTTTAGTTTGATGTAATCCCATTTATCTACATAAATATGCCATGTATATTTGTATATATATATATATATATATATATATATATATGTGTGTGTGTGTGTGTATATATATATTTTTTACTATTATTTTTGCTTTCATGTCTCTGCTTTTTGAGGTCTTCTCAAAAAAATCCTTGCCCATTCCAATGTCCCAAAGCATGTGCCCTGTTTTCTTCTTGTAGTTTCAGTTTTTTGTTTTTTTGTGTTTTTGTATGGGGAATTGAAGCCAGGGGCACTTTACCACTGAGCTGCATCCCAGTCCTTTTTATTTTTTTGAGACAGGGGCTCACTAAGTTGCATTGGGTCGTGATAAATTGCTGAGGCTAGTCTGGAACTTATGATCCTCCTGTCTTAGCCTCCTGAACTGCTGGGATTACAGGTGTATGGCACCATACCCAGTTTACATATAAATTTTTAATCCATTTTGAGTTTTGTAACTGGTTAGGTGGTCTTTTCATTTTTCTGCATGTGGATATCCAGTTTCCCCAGTATCATTGGTTGAAGTTTGTGTTCTTAGCACACTTATCAGAAATCAGTTCGTTGCAGGTATGTGGGTTTACTTCTTGGCTCTCTGTTCTCTTCTACAATTATTATTGTTGAATTATCCATTTCTCTCTTCAATTCTCTCAGGTTTTGTTTACATATCTTTGGGTTATTTTGTTAGGTACATCCACATTTATAATCATTCTGTCTTTTTGATGGATTTACCTTTTTAACTTTACAGATTTTTTTTTTTTTTTTTTGTACTAGGGATTGAACTTAGGGGCACTCAACTACTGAGCCACATTCCCAGCCCTTTTTGGATTTTATGTAGAGGCAGGGTCTCACTAAGTTGCTTAGTGCCTCACTTTTGCTAAGGCTGGCTTTGAACTTGCAATATATACATATATACACATACATATGTATATATTTAGTTGTTGATGGACCTTTATTTTATTTAATATGTGGTGCTAAGAATCAAACCCAGTGCCTCTACCCCTGAGCCACAACCCCAGCCCCTGGCATTTTTTGTTTCTAACAACTTTTGTCTTAAAGTCCTTTTCTGACATTAATGTAGTCCTTTCTAGTTTCTTTTGGTTATTATATTTATTGTAATTTTTCCATTCTTTTAAGTTTCAATCTCTTTCATTTGACTTGAAAGCACGTCTCTTTAGAAGACTGTATATTTGGTTTTTTTTAATGATTTTTTAATTTGTTCTTTTTAGTTGTACATGACAAAAAAAGTATACATACATGGAGTACAACTTCCTGTTTTTCTGTTATACATGATGTGGAATTACATTGCTTGTGTACTCATACCCAAACATAAGAAAGTAATATCTGATTCATTCTGCTATCTTTCCTATTCCCATTCCCCCTTCCTTTTCTTCATTCTCCTTTGTCTGATCCAGAGTACTTCTAGGCTTCCCTACCCATCACCCTTTAGCATCCACATATCAGAGAGAATTTCTGGCCTTTGGTTTTTTGGGACTGGCTTATTTCACTTAGCCTGGTAGTCTCCAGTTCCATCTGTTTATTGGCAAATGCCATAATTTCATTTCTTTTTATGGCTAAGTAATATTCCATTGTATATTATTATACCATGTTTCCTTTATCCATTCATCTGTTGAAGGGCACCTAAGCTTGTTTCATAGTTTAGCTGTTATAATTGAGCTGCTATAAACATGGATGTGACAGCATCACTATAGTATGCTGATTTTTAAGTCCTTTGGATATATACCAAGGAGTGGGATAACTGGGTCAAATGGTAGTTCCATTCCATATTTTCTTAAGAATCTTGATACTACTTTCCAGAGCAGTGTATATTCCCACCAGCAATGTATGAGTGAACCTCTCCCCCACATCCTTGCCAACATTTATTGTTACTTATATGTTTGATAATTGCCATTCTGACTGAAGTGAGATGAAATCTTAATGTAGTTTTAATTTACATTTCTCTAATTGCTAGAGATGTTGAACGTTTTTGACTGATCATATTTAGAAGACTATTTTTGGATTGTGCGTGTGTGAGAAAATGCTTTAAATACATTCTTTTAATCTGTTTAATCTATTTACATGTAATTATAGATAAGACAGGATTTACCCCTGCCATTTGGCATTTCCTTTAGTTATCTTATTTCCTGTATTACTGCCTTTTTTGTTATTTATTATAACATCTTATTTTGTACCATTTTAATCTATCAGTTTTTCTTTTCAGTACTGGGAAGTGGTAGAGTACCAGGGGCACTCTACCACTGAGCTGTATCCCCAGCCTTTTTTATTTTCTGAGACAGGGGCTTGCTAAATTGCCCAGGCTGGTCTTGAACCTAATCCTCCTGCTTCAGCCTCCAGTCAGTTGGGCTATAGGACCTCCTCATCCAGCTGTCATTTTTACTATGCTTTTCAGGGAATTACCACTGATGGCTAGTTTATAACAGTCTAGTTCATATTAATAACAATTTATGTCAATTGAACACAAAAACTTTGCTTCTAGATAGCTCTGTTCTTTTCCATTTTGCTGATATTGTTACAAATTACATCTGTGTACATTGTTTGTCCATTTTAGATTTATAATTATTGCATTGTAAAGTTGTCTTTTAAATCAGGGACCAAAAGGGAGTTACAAACAAAAAATACATTTATGTTGTTTTTCAATGTTTGTTTTTACTGGTGCTCTTTATTTCTTCATATGGATTACTATCCAGGGTTCTTTTATTTCAGCCTGAAGAACTCTATTCAGTGCTTCATGCAAGACAGGTCAGTTATAGATGAACTTTCTTCATTTTTTTTACCTGGGAACATCTTCATATTTCCTTCATTTTTGGAAGTTTGGACAAATATGGAATTTCTCATTGACAGTCATTTTCTATTGAATATATCAACCTTCCAGCTTCTGTAGTTTCTGGTAGCTTGCTGAGCCTCCCTTGTCATTTTTGCCTTGCTTTCAGAATTCTTTCTCTTTTTATGATGTGTCTAGGTATGGACCTTTTTTCTTTCTTTCTTTCTTTTTTTTTTAGTTGTAGATGGACGCAATATCTGTATTTATTTATGTGGTGAAGATTGAACCCAGTGCCTCACGCACGCGAGGCAAGCGCTCAACCACTGAGGTACAACCCCAGCCCCTGGGCATGGAACTTTTTAAGTTTATCCTATTTTGAGTTTGTTAAACTTCTTGGAAATACAGATTAATATTTTCATCAAATATAGGAACTCTTAACTCCTATATTTCTTCAAATATTCTGCCCCTTTCATCTTTTTATTTTTTTAAAATTTTGTAGTTGTAGATGAACAGCACGTCTTTATTTTATTTTTTGATGTGGTGCTAAGGATGGAACCCAGTGCCTCACACGTGAGCAGGCAAGTGCTCTGCCACTCAGCTACAGCCCCAGCCCTTCCCTCTTTTGTATGTGTATTTGGTACACTTGATGGTATCCCAAAGGACACTGAGGCTTTGTTCATTGATCATTAGTATTTCTGTTCCTTGTATTAATTTCAACATACTATTTTCAAACTTGCTGATTCTTTTACTCTGAACTCAAATCTGTTATTGAATCTCGGTAGTGAATTTTTCATCTCAGATACTATATTTTCCAGCTTGAGAATTCATACTTGGTTCTTTTTTATAATTTCTATATCTTCCTTCTATTTTTTGAAATGTTTTATTCTTTGCTTTAATTCATCAGACATAATTTCCCTTGGCTCTTGGAACATATTTAAAATAATTGTTAAAATCTAGTACTAAAGAAAGTTAAAATGCCATTAAGCTTTCTGTTATTACTGAAACTCAACTGGGCTGTTAGAAGTCTTTGAATAATTTCCAGAATTCTGTAAGATGATTCTGACTTGTGTGGCAGGTTTTTCATTGCTTTTATGGAGCATGCAAACTTTCAGTGGTTCTGACTGGGCCATTTTTGCTGACCCCTTTTTTTGATTTTGATTCAAACAAACTAAAGAAAGATATTTTGATACCAATGGCAAA